TGTATAAATCAATACAGTGATACATATCTCGACATACACCATATGAAAATTTGATATGTTGCAGTTATGACATGGCATTTGCAGTGTGATGAACAGATTAGATTTTTAGTAACTTTATTTTGATTTGGTGTTTGATCAAACTTTCAAAAGTTGACTTTTGTCCCCCCAAAACTTTAAAAATTATAACTAAACAAGTTGCAAGGTCATGTGACAACAACAAAGCATATTATTGTTATAAAAAATGTGCATATGCCTACAGGTTCACATACTTTTTTTTTTTAATAAAAGTGTATAGTGCACTGTATTCAATAAAAAGTAAACTAGAATTATATTCGGAACCCAAGCAAAGTTTTAGACCCACCACAGAGTCACATTTATATATACGTATATATATATAAATCAGTCTTCAAGTATTTTACTACTCTTCAATATGTGATTCTTATTACATAGGGGTCATTTTTTAGGATTCTATACTAAAGCTAAGACTCTGAGAACCTGACACCTTGTACTTCTGGAGACTCCAGGTAGCTTGCAGTTCTGGAAAATGGTGGTGCTGGAGACTAAATGGTTCCTGGTGATTTCACACCTAATTCTTCACCTTAATTCCTAATTCTTTTGCACTTAACATGCATCTTTTCTTCTCTACATGTTTTTGACTGACTCTGCTGACCCACTGAGCATTTTGCTGTCCAATGGTTATGTATTCACTTTGCAATTTCTAGTATTGTATTAGTTATGAATATTTCTCATCTGCATTGAATCATTTTTGACTTTCAGTCTCAGCTTATTTGTAAAAGAAAATCTGCTTAATAATTATGCACACCTAAATATAAGAAATTATTCACTTCCAGCCTTCATGAACAATAATATATAGATTATAAGTGATTTAATACAAGATTAATAGTAGTTATTAAGATTGATGTCATTTGGAATTGGTCAAATGTGCTTGGAAAAAAATATGATCAGAATATCAACTTGCATAATAATTATGCATGTCGAGGTAATGCAAGAAATGTTGTGATTGGTTGTCAAGGCAGCCAATCAGAATTTAGCAGCCTCGTCTCTGATTGGCTGGAATTATGGCATATTGTAACGCTGGGTTGTGTTGAGCAAGCGAGCTGCTGGCATTTAGAGAGCACTGAGGGCGGGCATCAAGGGAGCAAGCTAGTGAAACGTTGCACGCGCAAAAGAGGTCTCCACACATCCAAAAACTTATTTTAAATGCAAAATTGATTTTCGTGCACTCTAAATACTTTCTTCTTTGCGAGACAAACATTTTCTCCACAAAACTCAGTTCGCGCACATGCAAAACACACTTTTGCGCGCTCAAAATATGATCTTTCACGCGCAGAATTGTGGCAGAGATGTAATCCCATAGGCAAACCCTATCCAGGTACAAAGAGCACAATAATTAGTTAACTTATTTACTGTACTCCCTGTCTCTTTCGTAATCTTTAGGCGAATAAGAATAAATATAAAGTGCGTGTGTTTGTGTGTGCATTTGTGTGGGGTGTCCTGGTATTCCTTACGTTATAGTAATACCAATAAATTTTGACTTCCTGAGGACATTTTAGGTCTCCATGAGGGAAAGTTGAAGATGAAGAAAAGATGGTCAGTTCAAAATGAAGAAATAAGTAAAAGTATGCACAGTGTATGTTGTTGGTATTTTATTTTATTTTATTAAGATTTGTTATGTTATTTAATCAATATTGTTTTGTAAAATATGAAGATAGTACAATAGAATGTTGAAGAATAAGAAAAACTGCCTGTTTAAAAATAGGAAATAAGTAAAAAAATATGCACAGTTTATGTTGTTGGTATTTTTGATTATTTTATTAAGATTTATGTTATTTAATCAATATTTTTGTAAGAAGGTTGTTTAAACATTTTTATTTGTTGTTAAATTTGCTTACTTTTGAGTTATTAAGGGCCAGTATGTGTATGTAATTTGCCTTTAAGTGTAATAATATAGCGGTTTTCGTCTTGGAACTCTGCCATGCAGACCATTTTTGTCCAGACCATTACTTTCTTGCTTATTTGTTTCTGAATTTCTTTGGATCTCGGCATGATGTCTAGCTTTTGAGGATCTTTTGGTCTACTTCACTTTGTCAGGCAGGTCCTATTTAAGAGATTTCTTGATTGCGAACAGGTGTGGCAGTAATCAGGCCTGGGTGTGGCTAGAGAAATTGAACTCAGGTGTGATAAACCACAGTTTTAACAGGGGGGCAAACACTTCTTCACACAGGGCCATGTAGTTTTGGATTTTATTTTCCCTTAATAATAAAAACCTTCATTTAAAAACTGCATGTTGTGTTCACTTGTGTTATCTTTGACAAATTTTTTAATTTGTTTGATGATCTGAAACATTAAAGTGACAAACATGCAAAAAAATAAGAAATCAGGAAGGGGGCCAACACTTTTTCACACCACTGTATATATATTTAAATTAACATTATTTTGACAAATCACATACACATTTAAAATTACAAGCAGTATCGGTAAAATTGTAACAAAAAGTATCGGTATCGTATCACATGAAAAAAATGTGGTATCGCCCATCCCTACCAAGCTGTGATATAAACGAATGCTTTTGGCTATTTTAAAAAGGGGCGGGGCTGCTTGATATGTCCCGCCCTGTCTTCCTGTTTCAGTTAAAAGGACATCAACACATAGAGTAACGCTGCGTGTTTCTAAGCATTTCAGGGGACCTTTAAATGTCTTGCAAGTGACCTACCTGCAATTGCAATAAATAAATAAACATAGGAAATTTGATACTAAATACTTTTATTTCTATTTTATAATGCTATAGCGTAATTCTCTTCCCAGATGAATCATTTTTGTTTTGTTTTTGCATTATAGTGTGTGATTACTCATGTTCCTCCAACATTTTGTGTTTTATCTCTTCCAGAATTTTCTGCAATTACATAAGAAATATCACGGTAAATGTACTTAACATCAGGCTTTGGCCACAGGCATGAGTCATGTTTTTGCATACTAAATTGTGGTTGGTTTCTTTCTTACATTTATTTAAGCATCTACAGCTTCATATAATAACATGTTCATTCATTTGGCCAGAGGAAAACCTTTTTTTCTCCATTTTTGTCATCTGATTTTGAGAGTTTGGGTTTCTTGCCATTGTTGACTTTAGCTTGCTTAGTTGAAGCCTAAAAACACTTAATATTCAGTAATATTATCAATATGACTGCACAGACACCATCAAATAAAAACAAACTGAAATAAGCTGGATGATTGTCTTCTATAGAACTGCTTTACAACTTACAGTTAACCAACTGAACTGAATGAAAATTGAATTGACTGGATAACAACATTACTGCCTTCTGAAGAGCTGCTTATAGCTGAAGTGAACTTCTTTCCAAATTTAATAACTTTATACTGTTATTGAATTGAACTGAAACAACACTGAACTGACTTAAGCAAAATAATTACTCAATTGTCTTTCCTGAGCTGCTTTAAAGTAGAATCTTAATAAAAGTGAGTTTCCATAACTGATTCTGCTATTTTTACTGTGAAGCTGCTTTGAAACAATCTGGATTGTATAAAGTGCTATAGAAATAAAGGTGACTTGACTGGATTTGACTAGCTGCCTTTACAAGTTGAGAGACACAAGACTATTGGAGATGGAGTGAAAGGGAATGGGAACATGCTATGTAATTTGCAGTCAAGATTTTCTTCCTAAATCATATTTGTTGGGACTATATAGAGTTCCCGTTAGGAATATTTGTTGGGAATACAGTATCCTTATAATATGTAAGGATTCAGAAACTTTGCATGTGCCTATATAACCTCTATGTCTATAAGTGCTAGTGTTTATCATAAGTTAGTTTGAGGCTGGATTCCCTACTTATTTCTATCAACTTTGGAAGTGTGTAGAACTTGTGTAAATGCAATATAAATCTTATTTTTTAGTTTCAAAATTCCTCACAAAACTTCTTGTTTCTATATATTACATTCATCTGTGAGACAGGTGCTTGAGAAAACTGACAGAAAGAACACAACCATTTACTCGCTGCTTTATTTACAGCAGATCTTTATAACGATATCAAGATTTGACCTGAAGCCAAAAGTATCTACAATACTTCTGACCTTTGGATACAGTCGTGTCATTTGAAAAGTAGCAAAAAAACGATAAGAGCATGGTAAAAGTTCCCAAGACAGTTTGAATGTGTCCTTCATATAACAAAAATGAAAAAAGCTGAAATCTGTCAGTTTTAATAAAAATCAACCCTGAAACATAAAAGACGAATCACCCCAAAACAGTCTCATTAATCACATGGCCAGCATACAAACTGCAGCCAAATTTCAATAGTCACTTCACCTTAGTGCTTAATCTTAAGTATAAACAGTTTCGTAATTTACGGGAATGACAACCACATTTTACAACGTTAATTTAGTGGCAACTGCATTTACCAAAATTACATGCTGTATGCACAGAACCAAACTGAACAGCTGTTAAAGACATATTTAAACTTGCATCAGAGATGTGCCTCTCTTCTGTGTATGCAGTGCAAGTAAATCACAGGTAAAGAGGTACGAGCCTTGCTCATTCGCACATTATGATGCAATTCTTTCTCTCAGTTGCGCTATAGAAATAAGACCAAAATATCACAACCCGCAAATGCCCACTTTATTAAGTCCACTTTCAGTCCTTGATGTGAACCGGGTTTAAGTTGTGTTAATTTAGGGGATTCTCTTGAGCATTTACATGTGGTTCTCACTCCTGAAATGATATAATACAGGTCATACCTGCATTCCTGTGAACCAGTGGCAGTCATGCTTCAGAATGCACAATGCATCCTTATACAGTTCACAATGTCACTCTGTTTCCTTCCATCATCATACACAGAAAAAAAGGGGTTTAAAATTGTACCTTTTGAGTTACAACAGCTTGTCCCTGGAGCAGTACCCTTAAAAGGACATATTTGTACCTTTTTTACCCCTAATAGGTACATATTAGTACCTTAAGGGTACGTATTACTACTCTAAGGTACTAATATGTAACCCTAACCCTAACACACCCTAGGTACAATTCTGGCCCCTTATTTTTCTGTGTGTACTTGCCATTATACCGACCCCCAAGAAGTCTTCAGGTTTAGCTTAACAAGCAGAGAAGAGGGTGTTTTTGTTTGAATGAGGGAATGATACTTGATAAATGGCCCACCTCTTTGCTAATCTTCTATATGTTTGGCTTGACATTGATTTAGGAGTGAATTGTATTTGGAGTTTGCTACAAAAAATTGATCTTTAATAGAGAAGTCACAGGAAGCTGAAACTATATATTCATTTGTGTGGTCTCCTCCCACAGTTACAGAAGTTGCCATCTTCTTAAGTTAAGATAATCTTTGAATATTTATCTCAGGTTACTTTGGGGCCAATATAAGTAAAATCCTTCATACAGGATGGAACCGACATAGAGGGCACATTCCCGGTCTTTTTCAGCCCTCATTCCTGCTTGCCATGAACTGCATGATTGTCCAGTATGGCAAAGAGGGCTTTGATTAGCTTGCCTGTTCTGTCCATTGTCTGTGGTGGACCAGTGTCTTTGGGCAGACATGAAGGTGGTTTCTGAAGTCCCCAGTCCTAAGCGGTGCCTCTTTTAAGTTAGGTTTAGTATCTAACCAACGTTGACCCCAAGACCGACCTGTAACTTGTCTGCTCTGTGGTTGACAAAAGCCCCCATGATCAATGTGGCAGGAAGGGGATAAAGCCGCTTTTCCAGAACCCCACCAATGATACAGCGGCTGTCCAACATTCCTAAAAAAACATCAAAATGATCGACAGAAATTATGAGTTAAATATTAATCCTAAATTTAATCATTCTGTTAAACACATTACCCTAGTGAAAAAGAAATATACTAAAATATATTTGAAATACATAAATACATTTATTTTACTGAACCTTTATACGGTGACCGGGAGGCGACATGTTCAGTTTACTTAATTTTGTTGTGTTGTTAACTCGTGGGAACATGATAATATGTCGTGGCCACGAGATAGTTTTGTCGAGGTAACAACATCCTTATGTCGTGGCAGGGGCGCGCAACTGCACATTTGGCGAGGGGTATGCAAGATTAGTGTTGGCGCCCCCTGTATTCTAGTAGCGCCTAACACTAACTCCCACAGAAAACTTTCTGCAAGTAAATGACCAAAAGCCTATTCACTAGCTTGTGCATGGAAGTATACAAACTCATTAGGAGTGAAAAAAAGTGGTGGTGGTGGTGGTGGGGGGTGGGGTCACATAACATCCCTTTTAACTCCCGATGGCAGACCCCCGACAGTAGAACACATTTTTTTAATTCATTTTTATTTTCAAACGCATGTAATATTGCTTACTTTTTAGTTAGGTCATATGAATATACATATACGTATTTCTTAATATTACTGTTTGTATTGTGTTTTTGTTCAAACTATGCAGCCTTAATTATGAGACTTCTTTCAAAAGCACTAAAAAACCTTACCCAGATTTTTGAACAGTAGTGTATAGAATAAGGTACCTTTTCTCGCTTGTTTAATTTAACTTATTCATATATCAGTAACAATAACAGTGCCAATCCACTTCACAGACTTGAGGATTCTAGAGAAACAGACTGCACTATTGTGTAACATCATAAAGTTTAATTGTTATTGCCAGGCCAAGATAAAGCCTGCAACCTCTTTCATTTTCTGTGCTGATTTTAGAGGGAAAATGTGTGTCCTTCTGTGGATTTAAACAAGGTCAAAGATGTTAAATGGAGTGTAGTAAACACTGACACAGCTCAGAGCAGAATGCAAACTAGACAAGTGTTTTACAAAAATGCATGTTTCAAAATACATGTAAAGAAATTTGTTAATAAAAGGCCTTCCATTATAAGACATGTACTGTTATTTGTCTATGTATATTCTAATGGGATGTTTACTACCTGAATGCTACTGTTACAGTCTAGAATGGAAAGTATGAAAAACAAAACACAAATTTGAGTATGAGTATTTGAGTAAATGGTTCAAATGAGCTTTAAAATATAGGGTTAAATTCTGCCCTGCAAAGAAATTCAGTTTGGGCTGAAATTGGGGGATTAATAATATGTTTTGTGACATATTTGGAATCATACAGAGCCCCAGACAAGACATGTGAGAATAAAAATATTTATATCATGGCCATGAATTAACAATTCATTCCCATGACTTATTAGTATGTCAGCACGATGTACTAATTTGTTACCTCGTTTTAAGTAAATTGTGAGCATTCTATGAACAGAACGGATTAGTAAAATATGCACACAATATATTTAAAATGAGGTAACACGATATAGATATTTTATTCTGCATGTCAATTCTGAGGCTCCGTAGAATCAATCAAAAAACAGTGAAAACTGATATCAAAAAAGATTTCTCCGTTCCAGTGTTTGAGTAGTTACTAATTTGTGAGACACTGCACAGTGAGTATATCTGCCCTCATTACCTTTGAAGACCATTTTAGCTTCAGGAAGTTCCATCTGGTAACCAAAAGAAAAGGTTGTTTCCTGGGTCCTAGTGCTTGCCTCAAACTCCACTCCCATCTGAATCTGTGGAGATGAATTACAGACTGCAGCATTACGAAACTATTACTGTGAAATATCATCATATCCTTTCGACACCACCATACCTGTTTATTTGCCCTGTGGTAGTAGCTGGCATGTGCACCTCCTTTACCAGCATTCAGTGTTGCAACCCAATTTGGCCCTAAGACAGAAAAGATAGGACATTTGAGTCTCAAGTGCCATTGAGAAACAGAAGAACATTGTACACACAAATAGGAGTGACACTGAAGACGTAGCTGTTTAGGATGACTTATACTGGTGTATAACAAACAGATGACTGCTCTAACCTGAGTACTGGCCTGCCAGGGTGAGTATGCCCCCTTCTTCTGCTCGACCTCGATGGTACACCAGCTCTCCCCCCAGAACCAGCTGTGGGGATACGCTTTGGAGAAAGTGTGCAACCATGATAACTGTCACAAAGAAAAGCAAATGCAAACAGATAACAACATTTTAGGTGCAGTATGTGATATTGACAGCCAGCAATTGAACTACAGTCCGAATTCAAAATATTGGAGAGCATTGTTTCTCCCTCTCCTTCTATGTAGACTCAACGCTCACATGCGTTGCCAGATTGAGGACATGCAACAGGAAGGAGCACAACTGATAATGGAAGGCAACAAGGCTTACACTTTAAGTTAATTGCGTTTTAATATGCCTCTGACCATAGAGCTTTTTAGATGGATGCCAAGGCTGTTTTTTTATGGCGGGGAGAATTTGCGATCTCTGACCCTGTTCATTTGCTGGCTTCCATGGCTTCGATACACTGTATTTTCCACAAACTGGCAACCCGGGTGTCGAAATACTATTGGTTAAATTGGCAGTAGGTGGACACACGTGGACCGAAACAAAAACAGACATTCTGAAACAGAACCAGTGTTGCCAGTATTGCTGCGGTTTCCCCGTGGAATTGGGCTACATTAACACTGTTGCAAGGTTTTTTTTTTTCATGTCCTCAGGTTTAAGCAACCCAAATAACATGATTAGACCCTTATCATGTTATTTAGACCCTTAAAATTAGATTTTTACTAGAGGAACCCCACCAAAAAACGTGTATTTTACCCCCGGAACGTGATTTTTACAAAGGCTTACACTTTAAGTTAATTGCGTTTTAATATGCCTCTGACCATAGAGCTTTTTAGATGGATGCCAAGGCTGTTTTTTTATGGCGGGGAGAATTTGCGATCTCTGACCCTGTTCATTTGCTGGCTTCCATGGCTTCGATACACTGTATTTTCCACAAACTGGCAACCCGGGTGTCGAAATACTATTGGTTAAATTGGCAGTAGGTGGACACACGTGGACCGAAACAAAAACAGACATTCTGAAACAGAACCAGTGTTGCCAGTATTGCTGCGGTTTCCCCGTGGAATTGGGCTACATTAACACTGTTGCAAGGTTTTTTTTTTTCATGTCCTCAGGTTTAAGATTTTTATATTTAGACCCTTAAAATTAGATTTTTACTAGAGGAACCCCACCAAAAAACGTGTATTTTACCCCCGGAACGTGATTTTTACAAATGCGATTGGGCTAGTTTTGAGTAGCAATTGGGTGGGTTTTGTTGTGAAAACCTGGCAACCCTGCACAGAACACACATTTTAATGTGATGTGAAGTGACGTGTGGCCAAGTATGGTGACCCATACTCGGAATTAGTGCTCTGCATTTACCCATCCAACGTGCACACACACATCAGTGAACACACACAAACCGTGAACACACACCCGGAGCAGTGGGCAGCCATTTATGCTGCGGCGCCCGGGGAGCAGTTGGGGTTCGGTGCCTCAGTCGTGGTATTGCAGGTGGGAGAGAGTGCTGTACATTCACTCCCCCCACCTACAATCCCTGCCGGTACGAGACTCGAACCCACAACCTTTGGGTTATGAGTCCGACTCTCTAACCATTAGGCCACGAATCCCGTAGATTAAAGTAGAATAACTTCGGAGAAACAAGTATGTGAACTTAGCATGCTTCTCTGGCCTCTGCTAACTTCCCGTTTACAGACTCAGACATGATGTATTTTTTTTTTTGTCACTGTCCCATACTCCCGAAAAGAACGGAAAAATACGTTAAAAAATACAGTACAAAGACTGGAAAAATGTAATGTATTTTTGCACTATTTTTCTGTTATTTTTGAGAGCTACTGGGACAGTGCTAAACACGTCGATCGCGATCGTGGGTTAGAGCCCACTTCGTAAAAGGGCATAACAGGACCCCTTTAACAGAAGCAGGCTGGCTTATGGAATTTAAAATGAATGCAATGCCACTCAAGAAGCATTGAAAATAACTTACAGCCAAAAACAATTTTCCTCAATGGGCAAACAGAGCAATTCATCAAAATGATATACAGAGACAACCAAAGAAAAACCTGTTCTGCCTGGAAGGCATTGCTTTGTTGTAACTAATGCACATTCCTTTAATGAGGGACTCACACGATCATACCTGATTCCCTCAGAATGTCGGGGTTGGCCATAGTAACCGCTGCTGTGAAGTCACTACCACTATACTCCGTCTCAAACTGCCATGTGACAAACTGTGCCTGTTGAGTCTATTAAAGAATAAGCAGTCAGTCCACATAGTTGTTCAAAAGTATTTATTTTAACTAATGCAATATTGCATACCACTGCTATTTACCTGAAATACTGCTTTAGCTCTTATTCTCTCACTAAGATGGAACAAAGAGTGTGCATTTAAGCTGCCAGAGGAGTCCATTTCCCCAATAAGCATGGGTGAGCCCTATATACACAGAACATCATTGAAAACACACTTCAAGTCAATGTCCATTAGGTGAACAATATTGTTTAAATGCCCTGATTACTGCTCATAAAGATGCACAGCTGCACAGCTTTTGAAATGTGTTCCAAGAAACCTAGAAGCTTGTATTGCAGGTTTTTAGTATTCAATCATTGCATAACATGCAGTAGGAGTCATAAGCTATTAATAACTGATGATTATGATTAGGTCTATGTTAAATAAGTTACCTAACTCATTCTTTGCAATTTTGTAAGAAAAGCCTCCAACATCCAAGTTATCCAGTAATGCCAAAATAAGTCCATTTCATGTCCACATGAAGTGAAGGCATATTTCCAGAACAACATCCTTTGTTACTTCAAAAACAACATTCCTATCCAACAATCATATTGACACATTTTTGTTTTCAATTTATTAATTTATTTGTTTGATATGTATACTATCATATGCTTTTATACTCTACCATTCAAATAATTGGGTCAGTACTTTATTTATTTTTATGAAATGATTACTTTCATTCACCAAAATCATTAAGAAAGACTCTTATTCCAATAAATCTATCTATTTTAAATTGTACTAATAATTCACTTTTTTGATCGTTTATACTGTTTTTTCTGTTCTCTTCTTTTCCTTTTTTTATATAAGCACCTAAAATAAAGTTTATTATCATTATTACGGTTTTTCTTACTGTACTCCTAATTCAAAACAAACCCACAGTCCTGATTCTAAACTAAAAGTGTTGAATTTGTCAGTGTGAGAGCAGCTTGTAAACTTCTAATGTAATTTCCAGCATAACCAAGTGAAACGGTCATGCAGAGGAATAACAGAATAACTATTTATGCCTCTGCTCAAATGTACTGTACTTCTTGGCAATACATTTTGATAAGAATGTTGTTGAAGGCCCTTAACCCCTGCCCTAATACTACAGAAATCCACTTGAACAGGAACGAATGCACTGTTTCAGATTCTTACCGTCTCTTTGCTGTCAGTGTCTGATTGTAGGTGTTCAGCATGAAAGCGATAACTGGATGGAGCAACAGCACTGAGGTGAAATGTGTGACTGACCTGAGGTGAGAATTAAACCACAAAAAGCATCCATTAGTCCTTTGGCAAAATGTAATGCTGAATAGTGATAAATTTCACTTAACTGTCCTAAACGGTCTCATAACTGTACCATATATGAACAAACCTTGAAAAAGCTGCTGAGGGTCTTATTGATCACCAGTTTCACTCCTTCAATCTGCTGTGGAAATACATCTAGACACACAAACATTGAAATGACATCTAACAGACCATCACTTGTCAGGATGTCTCACTTAAAATGAACATATTTTAATGGAACTTATGAAAATGCATACAAAATCAACAGAGACCTTTACAGTTGCGATGCAAACCGTCAAAGCTCCCTGGGTTAGGTAGCCGTCCATCTCTCCTATCCCACCGTGACAAGGGTCTATCTTGTGGAAAAGGGGAGTTTTGGCGCCCTGGACGGGTTGACAAGGCCAGCACACTGCCCATGGGAACCCACAAGCCAAATGAGAGGCGCTGATCTTCTGAACTGCGAGAGACAATAGTAATAATAATAATAATAATTCACAACACTGGATCATGCATCCTTAAAAATAATTGACCATATTATGCCCATTTCACATAAATGGATACAAAGGATACAAGAAAAGAAATCAAATAATGGGGGGAAAGTATATAATTTTAGAATCTGCTAGTACACAAATCAACAGTGATGTTAATGAATAATCTGCACACTTATTAATGCATTTGAGCGCGTTATCAGGGATTAATAATTACATATGAACGATGATCAATAAGCATGCATTTGGGAATATTATGCTAGGCTTTAAAAGTCTGTCTACTTACGCTGAATAACTGTGGGCTGTGCAATTACAGTATGCAAAAATTATTTCCTGAAATCATACTAAAATGCAAGCTTTGTGCATGCAGTGACCGCTGGAAGAGAGTAAGGTGAAAGGATGCTGAGGGATGTAATGACCACTCAACTACAGACTCTAGCGGCGGAACCAGCTGAACAGTGCAGTCATTTAAAGAAGAGCAGCTATGAAACAGTTCCGTGCAGAAACACACTGCTGTTCATTCGCACACCCATGAAAACACGACTGGCGAATAAAACGTATTCGGAACGTTGTATTATTAGCATATGATATTTTTCTGATATAATACTTGTTAGCATCTTTTAATAACAAACTTCACCTTAAATAAAGGACTGTGACGTCACGGGGCACATATATTTTGGTTCCTCCTGTGATGAGAGGTCTGACTCATTTCCGCGACTCGGTTCTTTTGAACTGTTCATTTTAATGAACCGATTCACACCATCACGGGATCCCTGACGTCCCACGTTCCAATAAAGCCCTCTGTAGGCGCATATTGCCGTTTATAACGTGTGCTTATAGAACTGTCATAGAATTGAATATGCAAACATATGATGTATTATGCTTTTACTACTATAAGCGCACTCAACGAGACGGTTCTCGGTCAATGATTCAGTGAGATGGACTAAAAAGATCCGACTCTTTGCGAATCGGACACAGCTAGAGTCAACATGGCAGATGAAGCCACAAGGAAATCAGTTTCTGAAATACCACTTTTAAAAACAAATTCAGGACCAAGAGATAAAGAACTATGGGTTCAGAGACTTCGAGAAGAATATCTGGCTCTCATAAAGGTGAGTTGTAGCATTGTTTTGATGCAAAACTACTAGGGAGCTAAGTTACTATGCTAGCTGTATGAATGAATAACCATACGGGTCATACTGAGTTAAAAGTGTTCAGTCTTATTGACATCTGACAGCCCATCAGTATTGTTTACAAACTACATATGAACTGAATATAACAAAATATATGCACTTCTTAAAGTAATGGTGTTGTTATGCAGTATGTTGAAAATAACAAAGCAGCTGACAATGATTGGTTCCGTCTAGAGTCCAACAAAGAGGGCACAAGGTCAGTTTTTTTTATTGCTAGTTCTTCTTTTATGAGTAATAATATTTTCATTAACGCCTTAATGTATAAATACGTCTTTCTGTGAAGGTGGTTTGGAAAGTGCTGGTATATTCACGAGCTTCTCAAATATGAATTTGACATGGAATTTGATGTAAGATATTTTGAATTCAATTATATTTAACTTCATTTTATATTTTGTTAAAGTCCAGAGTAATTATCTTTATCCTAATGTCCAGATTCCAGTTACATATCCTGCCACAGCACCTGAAGTGGCCATTCCTGAGTTAGATGGGAAGACAGCGAAGATGTACAGGTTTGCTCCATGTTTAGAGTTTTGAAATTTAGTGTCACAATTTACTATATTTTTTTTATTATGTACCTAAATTGTTCAAAAACCATCTTTTATCACAGAGGTGGAAAAATCTGCCTGACGGATCACTTCAAGCCACTGTGGGCAAGGAATGTCCCAAAGTTTGGTCTGGCTCATCTTATGGCTTTGGGAGTAAGTTATGTTGCATGTCTAAAATCAAATGCATTCTGTCATTCGTTTACTAAAATTGGTGCTTTGACATTATTGCGTTTTAAATGAATAGCTAATCTCTGTTCTTTCCTAAGCTTGGACCATGGCTTGCAGTTGAGATTCCAGACCTCATTGCAAAAGGCATAATTCAACATAAAGACCAGCAAAACAGCTGAAAACAGTAGCAGCCTTTGCATTTCACTATGTCTTACTGATGCAAACACAACTGACAGTTTTAACAACAGTGGCTTGCTTTCCCTGTGGTTTCACATTTTTGTTTGCAACCTCACAGAAACGGTGTACGTCACATTCATATTTGTACAGAGATCTGTTTTTTTTAAACTGTATATCATAGTGGTTCAGTATTGGCAAGGTTTATAATACCTGTCCAATGAAATATGTATGTTTTTCATCAGTAAAGCTTGGTAAATAAATGCGGGATTGTTTTAATTGTAAGAATTGGGTGCACCTCATGAGGATTTAAAATTAGAAGTAGAAACTATGCAAAATTATTTTTTTCTCAGCTGGAAATGTTTCTTTGGTAACAGATTTTCTTTAAAATTAAGTATTATAAAAAAAACATTTTAAAAATTAATTGTGAAATAGATTTCTAATTTGTAAATTAATTAAATCTCAGTGACAGAAAGTTACTGGGCCTCGGTGCAGTTGCTCCAGGGTGTTAAGGCAAGAATTTTTGATTTCTATAATTAATCATTTCTATAACTCTATAATTAAACATTATGTAATGTATCTGTACTTCATTTTTAAATTAAATTTGGAGATATTCTTAAGTCATTTAAAAGTATAAAAATATACATTCAAAATATATTTGCGCACTCACACAGTTTGGTGACAAGAATCTGGTCACTCCATCTTCTAAGCTGAATGCTTGAATGTATTATGAAATCAAATGTTTTTTTTTCTTGATGTGATTGTGAACAGGACGACATCTTAATAATTAATAGTTACTGACAGCAAAGCAACTTTTTAAAAAGTAGGTTAACATTATGCTATAATGAAATATACCTGTACACTCTTAAAAATAAATGTGCTTCAAAAGGTTCTTCAAGCGATGCCATAGAAGAACCATTTGTGGTTCCACAAAGAACCATTCAGTCAAAGGTTCTTTAAAGAACCATCTCTTTCTTACCTTTTTATAATCTGAAGAACCTTCTTTCGCCACAAAGAACCTTTTGTGAAACAGAAAGGTTCTTCAGATGTTAAAGGTTCTTTCTGGAACCATTTAGACAAAAAGGTTCTTCTATGGCATCGTGAAGCACATTTATTTTTAAGAGTGTATGCCTATAAAAAGCAACTAGCCATAGCAAACATTCCTAGAGGTTTTGCAAATGAAATCCTCATTACTTTTGCATGTGTACAGTAATAAGATCAGGAATTGATCCAGTCATATACACGGACTACTTGAAATGACTAAGGTGACAGGCTCTCTTTATTGTCTGCAATACTGAATGTTTAAAACATTTAAAACCTATTCCTGATTGATCGAAAAAATCTCTTCAAACGTCCTAGATCATTCACAGTCTTATGTGATCATATACATTTCAATTTTAAATGTAACATCAAATATAATGGCACATATCAGCAGGAAAAAGAATTTGTCAGAGCATAAATGTCAAAGATAATTGTGTCACTGAGAACTATGAGGAAAGTAAACAATCTCGTATACACAGATAAAGTAGCTTTCAACTCAACTTCAAGCATCATGCATTGACGCATGTCAACAAACCAGTCCAAAAACCTGAAGAGCCTCCTGAATGATGCATCTGTCATGATATCTGTCAAGTTTCTAAACGACTGCACACGTGTTTGGTCAGGAGAACGCAGATAGTCTTTCCACACCCCCAGCATGACTGTACACTATGAGCAGGCCCTAGTTTGAACTTGCACACTGTACAAGTACCTGAGCTGTTCGAATTTGATGGCCCCTTCTTGTTTTGAGCAATGAGCTGTTTGAGTTCATTTAAGATGGCTGTGTTGGGTGCAAGAGCAATATCTGTGACCTCGACACGCTGTGGGTCATAGACGCAGTCCTCTTCTAGACCGCTAGGCACAGCTTTCATGCCACAGTTGGGAGGCACCCAGGCAGTGTCATAGCCCTGACTATGCCAGGTCTTCTGATGAGGATGGTTGTCCTTATCAATTCTTTTGACTTTTCCACAGTCGGCGCTTAATTTAAGCACTACTCTGTCAGTAGGTAGTGATTTCAGAGGATAGCGCTCTGCTTTCTTCTGGTCACGGCTCACATAAACTCCAGGTCCCAGCATTCCATCTGCTGACTGTCTAAAGCCTGTTGTTATGATCAGACGAGCTGTTTGAACAGAGGTGCCGTGATACATGGTGTAGAGTCTGCCTGATTTGGGTGCCTCGTCTGCCTGAAGATGACGATCTTCATCATAGAATGCTTCCCAGCCATAGAAAGTGATGGATGCCATCCTTTTTTCTTTTGGTATCTCCTGTGGATTACATACACATATGTAGTTGTTTTTTGGCGTTTGGCTTAGTGTTATGTTAGAATCATTATTATACTCTTATACCTTTTGTTCTTTTAATGTTTTTGAATTGTTTTTAGCTTTATTTTTTTTGTTTTCATGTAAATGTTTTAGTTTTGAAATGTTGTTGTATGCATTTGTCATTTTTATTTAATTTCTTTTATTTTCTTAAAAGCTTTTAGTTTTAATTACTTTTTCTTATTTGTGTATGTTTGAATTGTTTTTAGCTTTATTTTTTTGTTTTCATGTAAATGTTTTAGTTTTGAAATGTTGTTGTATGCATTTGTCATTTTTATTTAATTTCTTTTATTTTCTTAAATGTGTGTATATATATAGTATTTATAGAGTTTTAGCTTTTAGTTTGAATTACTTTTTCTTATTTGTAAGTCGCTTTGGATAAAAGCGTCTGCTAAATGACTAAAAGTAAAAGTAAAAAAAGTAAAGGATTAAATGTAACCATGATATAATATACACTACCAGGAAATGTTTAGATCTGCTCAAAACTTTATTGATATTTTACATATTTTAGAATACTAGTCCTGTCATCAAAACCATGAAATAATACAAATGAAAGTATGAAAGTGTATCTTAGTGACTAAAAATATTAAACAAAATCAAAACTATATTTTAGCTTCTTCATTGTGTCTAAACTACAACATCTACCCGGTCTAAAAATGACATTTTACTGTTCTAAAGAAATTAATTTGACATTGCTAATTTCATGAATAATTCATTAGTCAACATTTCATTAATCATTTATGCCAAACATATCAACATTTTCAAAATGAAACAGAAATTCAGTAAAGTTTTTCCAAATCTCTCACTGGTAAGTACAGTCTGTCCTTATGACTTTTGTTGTTTAGTTCAAGCTTTGAAGTTTGAACTGAATTATGTGTAAACATTAACAATACGCCAGAACTTCCGCATGTTTATACTGATTATGGCCTATATTATTCTAAAGGAAAACGTTATATTGTTCTGAAGGAAACAAACTTACCTTAAAATACTTCTCGCAAGTGAACAAGAAATGACACGAAACTCCGCGTCTAAACTTTCTTTATTGGTTATACTTAGAAAGCTAACCTTTCACTTTCAATTTCTTCTTAAACACGTTTTCCTGGTGTGCTCGTGAAGTAAAACAAATATTTAAATGATCAATTAAAACAGTGTTTTTTAACTTAAGTAATCAAAGGATGTCAGAGAGTGTAGCTCAGCATGCATTTGTGTAATTCTTTAAAGCGGTCACACTTTTTAAAGGTAAAATAATGTAATATGTCAATCAAACAGTGTAGACCCGCCTTCTTTTGGAAGAATACACTTCATTGGCAAGAAGCGCTCTTACGCATAAACGTGGTGACCAATAGTGTTGCCATGCCCGCTTCTTTTAAACGACTTGTTGTTTTTAAACATGAAGTCGGTCAATCACTATTAGCAGTTTCCCAAATACCTCTTCTGCACCAAAGATTAATTCCAATAAATGTTGATGTATTCACGATTCACTGATTCAAGATTTAGATGACCAATAGTTTATAAATCTATAAAAACCATAGAACAGGCTACTTCAGTGTGACTATTCTTAGTGTCCAGGAAACACAATGGGCCTCATTTATCAATCTAACGTAGAAACGAGCGCAGATCTGTGCGCACAAATCAACTTACGACAGAGTTCACGTGTGATTCATGAAACATTCGTATGCCGGCGATCTCATCGTACAAATGATCGCATGTTGATAAATGTAGCGGCAGAAAACAACCGTCATTTGAATATCACGCCCCTAAAAACACCCCGGTTTAGAAGCCTCGCCCTAGAGTTTACGACATGGAGAAATGAAACCCGGCCAAAAAGAGGAAGTAATCTCGCTAAAGAGAAATTGATCTTACTCCAAAAACACCCGTTAACCTTGTAATTGCAAACAATTAGGCTACATTAATATATGTAATTTGTATATTAAAATACTGGTAAATATAAACAGCCTATTTAGTTCCCCTCACTCTACAACAAATATTTTAAATTTAACGGTATTCAGAACAGAACAAGAATGAAAAATAAGTAGTTATAAAATTATATTTTTAACTGTAAAATAAAACACAAATTAGGCTATAGTGGCATTCATTATAAACAGCTTACAAATGTCAAGCAAAACTGAAACGGCATTGGGCTCACGCGCCT